TTTTTGGCACTTACACACATTTTGGGTTGTATTTTTATCTATGCAGTTACCCTTGCATTGTGCTTTCCTTTAGAAGTGTGTAGACTCTGTGACAGACCAGAATTGCTGAGGCGCACACATAACTTTGAGTCCCAAAACTACTCCAGGAAAACATGACTTGAGGGGAGGGTGGGGACTCTCCCAATTTTTAGCTAAAGGGTTAAGACATTTGGTCTGGGAACAGGAGACAGAGGTTGTGTGTTTGGCGGGGTGGGGGGGGGTGGTAACAGCATGTATGAAGGGAGCCTTAGCTAAAGGCATTATATACATACACACACTATAATGCCTATAATAACCATAATACATATTTGTATAAGTAAGGAATTGGTACAGTGCAGGTTTATCTCCATATACGTCTGTTATGTTCTTTGGGTTTAAGATAAGGGGTATCATTATAATAAATGGCAGACTGTCCCTTATTCAAGCCAAAATTCCAAAGGGGTTTGCTCAACCTATCTTTGTTATAGCTGGTTGCAATGACTGTTTGATTTCTTAACGGCATTAGGCTCTGATTCAGAGAGTGATTTTATGTTAAAGGGTCTTGGCAGTAATTGCATTTCTAATGACATCCTCAGTGAGGAAACTACTGTAATGATTGTGATGAGGAAATATCAATGATGGATAAGCCAGAGCTGATTCGAACCCCTCTAAGAGGTGAATCTGGCATCAAGGATCTTGGAAACAACTAAAGTTTATGTTTAAGCACTGGACTTTCCCCATTAATGTTCATTATACAATCACACCCCTTAGTCAGCTTTTTGATACAAAAACAAACGCAAAACAATTTTATCTCTGTTCAGCCCTTCTCTGCTGTGGATTTTTATTATCCCATAAAATTATATTCTGATTGCCTTGGATATCCCCAAAGACCTAATTTGATGAACAAATACTCGGAGGAATTAAATTGCCATAATCCCGCATACTGTGCTGAGTATAACACAAGCCAATCTATTCTCAGAAACTGGCTTTTAGTGTGGTTTTTAGAAATATATCCTTTGCCATTGTCTGGGTCAAGTTGTCTCATAACTCTGTCAGTGTAACTCACATAAAATATCCTTTTGATATTTGATTGCAGATCTGTTGAGTAGTGTTGGCATCAGCTGTGAAATGCAAATATTTTTTGCTCACCATACTCCTGTATTTTATATAAAGGTTAAAAATACATATATAAAACTTCTCCTGCCAAGTTTGAAAAGGTCTTCAAGTTGATGGTTCCAGCATAACATATGTTTAAATGGTACACTGCAAAAACACAATACGTTTCCTTCCCCCATTGTTTTGATTTCTCCCGCATAGTATGAATTTTAGTTATAAAAATGCCTTTTGTTTATATTGTTTACATGCCACCGAATGATCTTGCTAATAGGAAGGAAAAAAGTCATAACATGCCTTGTGTTTCCCCAGTAGAATACAGAATTTTCAGTGATATAAACCTACTAAAAGGTCTTTGCAGCATTTGTCTCCCTATATTCATGGGCACTCGATGATGGCATAAAGGATCTTCCGTAGATCATTTTGTGGGATTGGCTCCTTCAGTCTTTTTTGAGATAAACAGCTCATTTGAAGCTGTTATCAGCAGTTTTGCCCAAGCACAGACTGCAGGAAAAATTACAGGACTATAAAGTTTAGAATCTATTTACTCATCCACAAAATCAGGCCAAATTATAAATGTTTAAATAGAGAAGGGGTTAAATGGGTGCATTTGGAGTCTTCTGTTTTGAGGAACATCATCATTGTAACAGATATCTGCAAGGAGGACAAATGTAACCACCTGCACAGAAAGAAGAACTCAAGTTGCAGGAGTAAAGTTTGGAGGAGACAGCACTAGGAAGTCAGTCACTCTGCAGACACAAGTTACAAAAGATGCTACAGTTTGTAACATCTTATGTGGTACCTCATGCAATGAGGTGTCAGATTTTTCACCCAATCAGTCATTTTTAAGCTGTTTGCAGCCATGCACATGCATTTGGTCACAGCTATAAATTGCTTTTTGTGGCCAGATGGGGCAAAAATTGTTACGTCTGTCAGCACCTTCAGAGTGCATGTGGCTGGAGAGTGCCAAGTGCAGTATCTCAAGGTATATATATATTAGTAAAGAAACAGCTTAGTTATAGGCCCATATTGTTCTCTCAAGTAATTGCCCAGCATAGGGTACACAAAAGAAGAAGAATTCTATAAATTCTCAGTGTGACCTAGTTTGATATGGCCACTTTTTCTTGTTGATGTTGTTATTGTTTCCCTATCACTCAGTGTCACTGCTTCTAAGTGACTGCACTGTTTATCTAGTATCTCTTCTTTGCTTGAATTCTGCCTGATCATGGTGCCGTCTAAACTAAAGCAATCTATTTTTTTATGACAAGTTTGGTATATGGCTCATAATGGTTTGACCTGTAAGATTTATTTGTCTGTTTTCTATTGCTTTTGTTTTGATGTCAGAAACTGCTAATCCTTCAAAGTCTGATGTTCAACAGCCAGCAGCATTGATTTGCAATTGGCATGAGGGCTTGCTTCAGCTAACAGTGCCTTTTAAAAATAATTCTATTTACTGTATGCCAAATAGTCCCTACATCCCTGTTCAAGCCTCTTGATCTTGACTGCAGCAAAAAATATTGCATTAAAACCAAAACAGTTTTTATCCTGAATATCCCCTGTGTATTTCAAAACCTTTTGTGTCTGTTGCATTGAAATCTTCCAGTTAAAAGCAATGCTTTCTGGTTACTGCTCCCTTCGCTGAAATACAGCTCAGGGCTTCACTTGATGACTTCTGTAGAGATGTCCACTTTCTGTCAGCATAATGCTAGATTCTGGCACAACTATATTGAGTAGTCCCATTAGAGTAAATAGGGCTAGGCAGCTAGCAGCATTCCACCTGGTATAAAGGAATCACAATATGGTCTTACTGAATAATGAGTAATTTATTTATTGTTATCACTGCCTGTGACTCTTTCAAGTCTCATATATATTTTATATGATAATACGAACTCCTCAGTATTCAGCAGTGTTTTTTTTCTAATTACCATATATATTATATAGAGCTAATATATTAAAAGATACCTTAAGGGTAATTACCTAGCATGTGATTTCTTCTGTAGGTCACTATCATGACTGCTAATGTCATAAATGCCTCTTTATGAAATTATAGGCTTGTTACTCAGCCTAGATATCCTTTATATACTGTATAATTAATAAGACTAAGTCTTGGTGTTGGTCTTAGTGTCATGAAGCATCATGTAAACACACGTCCCAATAGCAAGCAGTTACTCTCTCATCGGACTAAGAAAATGATTAAGTCGGATGCAGGCCAGGCAGTTTGGGCATATTTTAGCTTATCTTTTAAGACACCTGGGTGGCTTGTTAACAAAACTACTTGTGACAAAATATATATGTTCACAAAACACATTGACTATTGATCTTATATCCAATTATAACACTAGATAAAAAATTTTAAGGAGGTAGAAAAGCAATTGGATTGCAGCCAGCAGAACACAGAGCTGTTTTCCCCATAATTCACTGAGGATATTGAAAATTTGTATCCAGCTCAAAGCATTTGGGCATGGAAAAGATCAGTAGTCTTGTACTTAAGGCACCGGACTACAATTTAAGAAATCTGGTATCACTTCTGAGCCATACCAGACTCGCTGCAGAGCCTTGGGAAAGTTATTGAAGCTCTGTCTGTGCACTAAACTTACCATGCTTAGCTGCAGTGCCCCCAGACATACTGCACTGATCTACATAGGATGCCTGCTAAACTAGGAGCAGTGTTGCCATGTCTGCACAACTCTGAGGGTGAGCTTATTGGGTGGGGTGGTGTCTCTCAGAAGTGCTATGCAGACTTACTTGCAACACCTCCTGCTTAGGAGACACCCTACGTGGAGCAGCAGAGTGATTGAGGGGACAGCACCTTTAGTGGCCTTAATCACTTTGGGCGGATCTATACAAGACGTTACTGCACAGTAGCAATGAGCTGCTGAGCAGTAGCTCATTCCTACCAAGCAGTAGCATTGCCAGGCACTAACTGTGACACAACACTACTGCGCAATAACATCAGAAAAAAAACTGTGTGAGGACAGTACTGTACAGTACTGCTGGTTGCTGTGCAGTCATTTACTGCTTGCTTATGCAAATACTAAGCCAGTACTAAATGACCTGCTGCTCATGTAGATGCGGCCACTGTGCTTCATTCCTAATTTGTAAATAGGGGATAATAATACTTTCTTTGTGCATCTTGTCTAGACCATGGATGCACAACTTTTTTCTCTGGTGGGCCAGATGGGCAATGCTCTCTCTACAGGCCAGATCCCAGTCTGGCACTGAGGCCAGGGAAGTGGGTGCTATCTGGCCATGCAGATGGGGGTGTGGGGCAATCCAGCTGCAACCTGGCCATGTGGCTCGAAAAAGCGGGTGTGGCTTTGCCCCACAGGGGGAAAAGAGGACATGACCTGGCCCCACCCCAGACCTGCCAGGGACATGACCTGGCCCCATCCCAGCCCTGCCATTGAAGAGGGCATGACACAGCCCCCATCCAGAGGTGGGGGAGGGGGTGTGGCCCAGCTGTGACCAGCCTTGGGGAGCTTGGGGTTCAGGAATTTGGCTGGAGGAGGGTGATTGTATTAATGGCCACCACTCCCCTACCCTGAAATTTCCCACTCCATGGGAGCTCCATGGGCCATATGTAATGGCTCCATGAGCCGCATTTGGCCCACAGACCAGACATTGAGCACCCCTGGTCTAGACCGTCAGCTCTTTGGTGCAATGACAGTCTCCCCCTAGCTGTTTTTGCATCCCTGAACAACACAATGTGTCAGTAACCTCTTATCACTATTTTACTGTAGATAATAACATAGAGACTATTTTGTAAGAGGTTAAGGAAACAGGTTTTATAAACGAAGGGGATTTGGGGGAGGGGGTGGATTCTAAAAATATTTCTAACGGTTTTTTTGATTAATGTTATTGTCCCTCAGGGAATGATGTACCTGGAAGAGAGGAGACTGGTTCACCGAGATCTGGCAGCCCGGAACGTCTTGGTGAAATCACCAAACCACGTGAAGATCACTGATTTTGGCCTGGCCAGGCTCCTAGAAGGGGATGAAAAGGAATATAATGCTGATGGTGGAAAGGTAGATTTTGTATGTCCACTCCATCATGTCTTATCTTATCTTGCTCTTTTTTTTTTTTCTGGGGGCACAGAAGTCTTATTCTGTATATTTCCTGAATTGAAAAGGATGCACAAATGCACATTACGGGAAAAAAAAAAAAGAAAAAAAGTTTGTTGTAGAAGCTTAAAGAAGCTCTTGAATTCATGCAGTGGCACCAGCCTCATTTTCAAAAGTTCCAAGCATATGAGAACTGCCCTTGACCTAGCTATCACCAAGAAGGAGTACTCCTCCTCAGCCCATGAGTGTAGGAGGGCTATTAGGAAGGCCAAGGCAGAGATGGAACTCAGGCTAGCATCCAGGATTAAGGACAACAAAAAGTCCTTTTTCAAGTACATTGGGAGCAAGAAGAGGGCACCAGGCAATGTAGAGCCCCTGCAAGACAGAAACGGTAATCTTGTGGCCATGCCAGACAAGAAAGCTGATATTTTTAACAGTTTCTTTGCCTCTGTTTTCCTGAACAGGGACC